CAGCGATACTCTTACCGTGGCTGTGGTGCTTTCTCAGAGACAGCTACCACTTGGCATCTTTCCTGGGCTGATGGCAGAACTCATATTTTCTGAAGGGCGTTAGCAGGGGGACAGGGAGGGGAACCTAGCCCTTTTATGCTAACTTTTTATCCTTGTTACACTTCGAAGTAGAGACTGAATTGCTTTTTGGAGGAGTCATTTTCTTCATTGGCCTTGAAGTGTGCAGGATGAAAGAGATTGTAATTTGGATACCTCCATTAGGTGCTCAAAGATAGGTGGGATGAATCCAAGCCAAAGCATTCAAGAGAGAATAGACGATCTGTCTGGAGAGCTTCTGAAATAAGTGGTGAGTAGGTAACTGAAGCAGGACTGTCATGTTCAGTGGATATGATGTCCTGAGATTTTTGACCCTGAAGAAGTTATGAAAACTTGGGCGTTGCTGTAAATTTTTCCTCTTGTATTTGATCTAGAACACAGTTTATACTGAATTCCAACAAGGAAAGCTTTGTTGCAGCTTAATTTAAATTGAGAGCCATGTGTGATTTGGAAAAAAGTACCCAAGCACTTAGCATGGTAAAGTCTTGCTAAAAGTTGGTGCAGTTTAGGCTTGTAGGCCAAAACACAAAAGCAGCTAGACTCCTCCGTGCCATGGGCATTGGTAAGTGCCAGCCACCCAAACACATTTTGTGACCTTGCTAGCAGTTGCTTGAGGAGCCCAAATTTAATTTCTTTTGCATTGTAAGTGACATCATAGTGAGCTCTGCATACGGGTTATTTTAAGGCTGTGTAGAAAAAGAATTATATTCAGTAACTTGCAAATAGAAGAGAGGAAAATTACAGCTAAAGATGCTGGTGGTTAGATAAAGGAAATCGATGGTAGAAAAACTATGAAGTAGTGTTATTCCTGTATTGCATGTGGATCTCAACCACTCTGCTTGTGATGAAAAACAGCAGTGGAACAAAGTTTTGGGTTCAGAAGACTGGCAGAGGGATTCAAGTTTTGTGGCAGCTGGGACTGAGGAAGGAGGCTGGCTGACTCCCTGGTGTTTTGTAGGAGATGCAGTGGGTGAGATCAGGGCTGACAAATACCGTATGAGGGAGCGTGCTAGGGCTTTTACTGAGGCTCACAGGCTATTCAGGTGCAGATTTTGATATTTTTAGTGCTCTCTGTTTGGGTTAATTTTTCAGGTCTGTGTTTTTTCTCTTCATTCAAGAAGATATGTTGCCAGTGTGTCTTGGTTGGAATTTTTTTTCTGCTCTGCTGAAAGCTTTTTTTAATGGCACAGTTGATTCAGTCGATACCTATCAGAATCTTCTGGTGTTTATCATCAAAAATGCCAGCTGTTAGAATTTAATCTTCCTAGATTATGTGTAAACAAACAAAATTTTATTGACTTCATTGACCCTATTTTTAACACCCTCTTAAATTGTTTTCTCAAATCACTTTGGATCAATCTTCTTCTAAAAACAATGGCAACTTTTTAGTAACCTTAAAAAAATACATAGTTATTTAAGTCTTTTCTGGGTACTTTCTTAATACTCCTTTTTTTTTTTTTTTAACAGATAAATTTGCGCCTCATCTTGGTAAGCGGGAAAACGAAAGAGTTCCTATTTTCACCGAATGACTCTGCTGCAGATATCGCAAAACACGTGTATGACAACTGGCCAATGGGTGAGTAGCTGCATGGCTTTGGCTTTTTAACTGGCAAGCTAGAAGCTCCCTGTATTTTCAGACTAAAGTGTCAATAAACCGATCTCTGTTCTCAACATTTAAATAACGTATGTTTATTGCGTCTCTGGGCACAGATTTATATAGAAATACAATTGTCATCTTGTCTTCTTTTTCCCTGTTTCTTCGGTTGGGCAGATTTTTAGGTGTCTGGACTATTTCCCATTTTATTTCTAAAATTTGCTTCCCCAAACCAAAGTACTGCTTTCCCCTATCTTTAGACACTTTTCTTGATCAATCATATTAGAGGATCTAGTAAGTGTGAGGAAATGTTGGAGATATAAAACCTCTTACATGAAGACAGCTAATGTAAAACATGTTATGTCACAGGAATGCATTAGTGAAATTGAGCCTGAAGTACTTCTTCCTTACTGCCTCATCTTGGAAGGGATCTGTAATGATGAAATTTTTCCAGAAAAGAATCAAATAGAAAAGAACATTTTGAGACATTAGAAGACCAAGGGAAACCAAGGTTGTTTGTATGAATATATTTGGTGTTATGCTTTGGAAAATGGAATTGAAAACTTAAGATGTGTATTCACATATGTGAATAGTTCCACAAAAACAAAGTGCTTCTGTTCTTCCCGACTATGATTTCATGGGAAAATATCTAAAACAGAGACATAGCAGTACATATGATGAAAGAAAATGCTTCTTTTGGTACAGGACTTCATTTGGGTTACTGTTTTGATGTTAAAAAGACTACTATTTACACAAACTAAAGCACTGCAATATTTGCTTCTGTGGTGCCTTTGTCAAAGAGGTATGGTAGACAGTAATTCATGCCAAAAAGTTAGTGTTAATAATCCATATTTTAGGCCTTAAACTGGTCTTCGAGGTCAGGAAGAACAGGATTTCAGGGGACTTGTTTGCTGTTTGTTTTGCTGGGATGCAGCATTATGTATTTAGTAAAATACGTAATGAAGGACGAGGTCTTTAGTCGTCTGCAGTATTAGATATAGATGTAAAACACTTTTGCACTAAGGAGTCTGGTTGATATAGCATCTGTGCAGCTGCTGTACATATTTTAATGTGTGCCTACAACATAGTTGTCATGACCAAATGTTCTGTGTGTACTTTTATCTGAATAAGTAAAGGCAGAACTGATTTTTTTTTTTTAAGTCAAGTTTATTACTGAACATGTGGTCTCATGTTCCCAGTCTGGTGAAGAGCCTGAAGGCTGCAGATTCTGAGTTTAGAGTCAGGAAGAAATCCAGACTTTAAAGTCTCTTTTTTTAAAGAAAAAGTAGAAGCGGACATGGAAGCCTCAGTTCAAATACCTGCTGTCCTAAGGGAGTGCTCCAGATCTTGATGAACGTTTAATTGCCTGTGCAGAGAAGAATAGTGTCAATTTAAAAGACTGAGGAAAAATCTACTTCAGAATAATGTATAGGTTTTCACAAACATTAGCCCACTGGCTGTTTTCAGACTGAGTGCTCTTCTTTGCCCTGCCACTGAGAAATCTTGATAAGGACTAAATTTTCCTTGAAATAGAGATGATATGAAATGATTGGTTTTACCACCTTTTTGACTTGTCATGATCTTGTGGGGAAAAAAGTAATGAAACCAGTTACATGCTGGCAGGATTAAGGCAAATCTCTCCCCCCCTCTTTTGGCAATGCAGTTGTTAATTAAGGATGTCTTGACTTGTAGTGGAAAATGCCAGGTTTATATTAATGTATATCCTCTAGGTAGGTTCCTGTTCTCTTCCCCCCTGCTCCCCCCCATTTTCTCTATATAACAGAATCATAGAATCGTTTAGGTTGGAAAAGACCTTTAAGATCATCAAGTCCAACCGTTAACCATTTAACTGTTTAACCGTTAACCGTTAACCCTGCCATCCCACCACTAAACCATGTCCCTAAGCACACGGTCTCCCCCTCTTTTAAACACCTCACGGC